ATATATTAGACAGCAAGTGAACATGTTGTCCATGAAGTTGATGTGATGAAAGCAGAAAAAAATGTTAATTGCAGTTTGTTGTGTATGGGGCTGTGTAGCCGCAGACCGGCCAGGGTGCCCATGCCGACCCGTGTCCACAGCCAAAAGTGCCTACAATGGGCACCAGAACTGGACCAAGGAACAATGGATGAAGGTGGCCTGGTCTGATGAACCATGTTTCTTTTACATCATGTGGATGGCTGAGTGTGTGTGCGTCACCTACCTGGGGAAGAGATGGCGTCACCTACCTGGGGAAGAGATGGCGTCACCTACCTGGGGAAGAGATGGCGTCACCTACCTGGGGAAGAGATGGCGTCACCTACCTGGGGAAGAGATGGCGTCACCTACCTGGAGAAGAGATGGCGTCACCTACCTGGGGAAGAGATAGCGTCAGGGGTGGACTGACCATTTGGAAACTCGGGCACTGCCCGAGGGCCCGGGGTCAGTAGGGGGCCCCATTAGATGCCCCTGGTACCTTTTTCATAGGCTTTTTGGAGTTTGGGCAAGGACACAGGGGCCCCATGATCCCCTATTGCCCAGGGGCCCCATGAGTTGTCAGTCCACCCTGGATGGCGTCACCTACCTGGGGAAGAGATGGCGTCACCTACCTGGGGAAGAGATGGCGTCACCTACCTGGGGAAGAAATGGCGTCACCTACCTGAGGAAGAGATGGCGTCACCTACCTGGAGAAGAGATGGCGTCACCTACCTGGGGAAGAGATGGCGTCACCTACCTGGGGAAGAGATGGCGTCACCTACCCGGGGAAGAGATGGCGTCACCTACCCGGGGAAGAGATGGCGTCACCTACCTGGGGAAGAGATGGCGTCAGGGGCGGACTGACCATTTGGAAACTCGGGCGCTGCCCGAGGGCCCGGGGTCAGTAGGGGGCCCCATTAGATGCCCCTGGTACCTTTTTCATAGGCTTTTTTTGAGTTTGGGCAAGGACACAGGGGCCCCATGATCCCCTATTGCCCAGGGGCCCCATGAGTTGTCAGTCCGCCCCTGGATGGCATCACCTACCTGAGGAAGAGATGGCGTCACCTACCTGGGGAAGAGATGGCGTCACCGACCTGGGGAAGAGATGGCGTCACTTACCTGGGGAAGAGATGGCGTCACCTACCTGGAGAAGAGATGGCGTCACCTACCTGGGGAAGAGATGGCGTCACCTACCTGGGGAAGAGATGGCGTCACCTACCCGGGGAAGAGATGGCCTTACCCCTACCTGGAGAAGAGATGGCGTCACCTACCCGGGGAAGAGATGGCGTCACCTACCTGGAAAAGAGATGGCGTCACCTACCTGGAGAAGAGATGGCGTCACCTACCTGGGAAGAGATGGCGTCACCTACCTGGGGAAGAGATGGCGTCACCTACGGACTGACCATTTGGAAACTCGGGCACCTACCCGAGGGCCCGGGGTCAGTAGGGGGCCCCATTAGATTCCCCTGGTACCTTTTTCATAGGCTTTTTGGAGTTTGGGCAAGGACACAGGGGGCCCATGATCCCCTATTGCCCGGGGACCCCATGAGATTGTCAGTCCGCCCCTGGATGGCGTCATCTATCTGGGGAAGAGATGGCGTCACTGACCTGGGAAGAGATGGCGTCACCTACCTGGGGAAGAGATGGGGTGACCTACCTGGGGAAGAGATGGCGTCACCTACCTGGAGAAGAGATGGCGTCCTACCTGGGGAAGAGATGGCATCACACCCCAGATCCCCTATTGCGTCTACCTGGAAAGAGATGGCGTCCCCTACCTGGGAAGAGATGGCGTCACCTACCTGGGGAAGAGATGGCGTGACCTACCTGGGGAAGAGATGGCGTGAGCTACCTGGGGAAGAGATGGCGTCGCCTACCTGAAGAAGAGATGGCGTCGCCTACCTGGGGAAGAGGTGGCGTCGCCTACCTGGGGAAGAGATGGCGTCACCTACCTGGGGAAGGGGAAGAGATGGTGTCACCTACCTGGGGAAGGGATGGTGTCACCTACCTGGGCATCACCTACCCGGGGAAGAGATGGCGCCACCTACCCGGGGAAGAGATGGCGCCACCTACCCAGGGAAGAGATGGCGTCACCTACCCGGGGAAGAGATAGTGTCACCTACCTGGGGAAGAGATGGCGTCACCTACCTGGGGAAGAAATGGAGTCATCTACCTGGAGAAGAGATGGAGTCATCTACCTGGGGAAGAGATGGCGTTACCTACCTGGGGAAGAAATGGAGTCATCTACCTGGAGAAGAGATGGAGTCATCTACCTGGGGAAGAGATAGCGTCACCTACCTGGGGAAGAGATGGCGTCACCTACCTGGGGAAGAAATGGAGTCATCTACCTGGGGAAGAGATGGCGTCAGCTACCTGTAGAAGAGATGGCACCAGGATGGAGTAGGGGAAGAAGACAAAGCTGGAAGAGGTAGTGTGATGCTTTGAGAAATGTTCTGCTGGGAAATCTTAGCTGCTGCCATTCATGAGGACGTTACCTGAAACATACCACCGACTATGACTGGGACAAGGGGCGGGCAGAAGGGGCGGCTGCCCTGGGCACAGTGGTTTGCTGTATGGATGGGGGCACTCTCATTGTGATATTAGGCATTTTGACAAGTGGATGACTGCTGGGGGGGGGGGGTAGCATCCCCTAAACTCACTAATAATGAAGGTGGGGGGAGGGTGCAGTTTTTTTTTTTTTCCCGCTCCTCTTGCATTGACTTCTGTTTTAAATGAAGTTGCCAGCCACAGTGAGATCGGAGGTACAAATTGCACGATCTGCAGCTTTGAAGTCCAGGCTACTTCACTTGCACGGTCTCAAAGTTGCATTCAGTGTGAACCAGGGCTGAGCCCACTTTTTTTTTTTTGTGGTTACGGTAGGGGGGTCAGCAGGGGGGCCCTATCAAAATGTAACTCTGGGGCCCCATGATCTGCTTTTCGGTTACCCCAGAGTTCCCCTTTCTTTCCTCCCTCCCGTCACAGATGTAGATTGATCAGCATCCTCTCTGCCTGTAGACATTATTCTTTCTCCCTTGTCTTTGTGTTTTCCTGCCCTCCTTTGAAGGAAACCACCTTTCCAGAGGAACGCGGGGAATGAATTATTAAGCGCGCCGCCGGGGGAGGCTGACTGCAGATCTTTGAACACATCACAGATCGTTGTGAAGTCCGCATGGATCATCCCGCCTCGGGGCGCTATCAAAGAAGCCTTTTATACCGGGCCGGGTTTCCTGGCGGTAATCAGAAAGCGGGAGAGGTGCGATAGATCTGAGTCCAGCTCCTATGAATATTCCATCAGATCTGGCGGAGTCCTGCAAGGCCTTGTCCGGGGCTATAATGAGGGCGAATGGGGCCCAATCACTAAACGGCGATTTTAGTAGAATTTATCCCACCTATACGATGACAGCCTCCATCACACAGTCTGTTCATTGCAGATATGGACCGGCGTGCTTCAAGTTATACGCTGGCAAGGTTCACTTGAAACCTATTTAATGGGACTCCAGGCACAAGAATGTTCATTTAAAGTGTTACTAAACCCACAACAGTGCAATCCGTCTGTAGATGCAGCAAAGCATGCTGGTTATACTCACTGTGGAACCTAAGGGGTTAATCCTCTGCCTTGTGTAAAAAGGCTGTTTGATCCTGTCTTCTCTGCTCTTCCCCTTCTTCCAGTGTCCCCCTCTTATCTCCTGCTAAGACATATTGTGTGGAGTCACTCTGCACATGCTCAGTTTGGTGTGTATTGCTTTTTTTTTTTTCTTGGGAGTGCATGTGATCAGCACTGTCCAGACAGAGGTCAGGGGTTCTCCATCCTCCTAGAGCAGAAAGAAAACTCCTCCTATAAGCTTTGCTGTGCTCTGCTGAACACTGATAGAAGTCACAAGACTGCTGTATACTGCTGAGGAGAAAAAGGGATTTAGCAGTTTATATTTACTAAAATAATTGCATTTCCATGTTCTGTGTACTGTGGGACACCGGATATAGTGAATGCGGGGTCTGGGGAGAGCGGATATAGTGAATGCGGGGTCTGGGGAGAGCTGATATAGTAAATGCGGGGTCTGGGGAGAGCTGATATAGTGAATGCGGGGTCCGGGGAGAGCGGATATAGTGAATGCGGGGTCCGGGGAGAGCGGATATAGTGAATGCGGGGTCTGGGGAGAGCGGATATAGTGAATGCAGGGTCCGGGGAGAGCGGATATAGTGAATGCGGGGTCCGGGGAGAGCGGATATAGTGAATGTAGGGTCCGGGGAGAGCGGATATAGTGAATGCGGGGTCCGGGGAGAGCGGATATATTGAATGCTGGGTCCGGGGAGAGCGGATATATTGAATGCGGGGTCCAGGGAGAGTGGATATATTGAATGCGGGGTTCGGGGAGAGTGGATACAGTGAATGCAGGGTCCGGGGAGACCAGATATAGTGAATGCAGGGTCCGGGGAGAGCGGATATAGTGAATGCGGGGTCCGGGGAGAGTGATATAGTGAATGCGGAGGTCCGGGGACAGCGGATATAGTGAATGCTGGGTCCAGTGAGAGCGGATATAGTGAATGCAGGGTCCGGGGAGAGCGGATATAGTGAATGCGGGGTCCGGGGAGACCAGATATAGTGAATGCGGGGTCCGGGGAGAGCGGATATAGTGAATGCGGGGTCCGGGGAGACCAGATATATGAATGCGGGGTCCGGGGAGAGCGATATAGTGAATGCGGGGTCCGGGGAGACCAGATATAGTGAATGCGGGGGTCCGGGGAGACCAGATATAGTGAATGCGGGGTCCGGGGAGAGTGGATATAGTGAATGCGGGGGTCCGGGGAGACCAGATATAGTGAATGCGGGGTCCGGGGAGACCGGATATAGTGAATGCGGGGTCCGGGGGGGGTCCGGGCGAGACCAGAATATAGTGAATGCGGGGTCCGGGGAGACCAGATATAGTGAATGCGGGGGGTCCGGGGAGACCAGATATAGTGAATGCAGGGTCCGGGGGGAGAGCGGATATAGTGAATGCAGGGTCCGGGGAGAGCGGATATATAGTGAATGCGGGGTCCGGGAGAGCGGATATAGTGAATGCGGGGTCCGGGGAGACCGGATATAGTGAATGCAGGGTCCGGGGAGAGCGGATATAGTGAATGCGGGGTCCGGGGAGACCAGATATAGTGAATGCGGGGTCCGGGGAGAGCGGATATAGTGAATGCGGGGTCCGGGGAGACCGATATAGTGAATGCGGGGTCCGGGGAGACCAGATATAGTGAATGCGGGGTCCGGGGAGACCAGATATAGTGAATGCGGGTCCGGGGAGAGCGGATATAGAAAATGACATCCCTCTGCTGTACATAGCCTGTGCAGAGAGCAGAGCTGTGGGAGGGACCAGTAAGCTCCACCTTCCACAGGCTGCCACCAGAAAGCTGCAGCACGGGGCGGAGACAAGACCAGTCTCCCTGCAGAAGGAGAGCGAGCGGCGGTGAGCGGTCTTTATAACAGGACGTCACACACTGGATTACTGCACAGATCTGGAAGAAATGCACAAAATACACTGAGATTCAAGACTAATACACATGATGAACGGATTAAGGGCCCTTTCACACCAATGCACTTTTGATGCATTCCTGCTGACTTCCAATGGAAGGTGCTCTTGAAAAGCTGCTCCGCAGCTCCAGCATGCAAGATTTTTCAAAGCTCCGCCCACCTGAAGTGTGAAGGGCTACATAGGATTTCATAGGGAATAGTGTTCCTGCACTTTTGCCACCTTGGAAAAGCGCAGCAGCATGAAAGGGGCCTGAGAAGATATTTGCTTATCCTGCAGTTTAGCTTTCAATAAAGTCTGTGCTTCTGCCGGCTGTCACTACACCAGATATTATAATCAGCACACTTGCTGTATGACTGCTGAGATCAAATGAATTCTAGGATAAGTCCCCTACAGAATGCATGGCCTTCATGACTGAACCCCTTGCCCTTCAGAGGATGTACCCCCCCCCCCCCCCACCCCCCCTTCTAATGTTTGTGTAGTATTATGTTCAGCAGACTGTGTTCTATTGTTGTGACTTAGATGACGTTCAGAGCACATTTTATGCCCAATTCATGCAAAACTCCACGGAATCCCAAGGGGTTCACATACTTTTTCTTGCAACTGTGTATATATATATATATAATATATATTTTTTTTTTTTTTTATTTTTTTTTTTTTTTAACTAGTAATGGCGGCGATCAGTGACTTATAGTGGGTCTGCGGTGGCCATGCTGACTCTGGGGGGAACTGACTTGGTGTTACTGACATCCCCAGTGACACCAATACAGTGATCATTGCTAATAAAAAAGCACTGACTGTACTAATGGCACTGGACAGGAAGGGGTTAACATCTGGGGTGATCAAAGGGTTAAATGTGTGCTGTTTTTCTGAGTGTGTGATTTACCCTGTATGCACACTGCTTTGTATGGTTCTGCTATGCAGAGCCATGCAAAGCAGTGTGCAGGAGCTGACGGGAGAGAATGGTATGTTTTTTACATGCAGGTCTCTCCCCCGTCATTGATTGGCAATCGCCGGGTGCTGGTGGGGAATCCCCAGCCAGGACCCGGTGATCGACCACTGATGCCGCGAATATACATGATTTTGGCAGTCGTGCCGCCCTGTAGCAGTATTTCTACGGGCGGGGAAGCAGATAATCTGCACCTGAGATGATCATAGGCTTGCAGCAAAACAAAAAAGATCAGTAAAGTACAATCACTGTACAACATCCTTTCCTTTGTTGTAGACCGGCCATAATGGAGAATTGCCCTCAGCAATGGCGAAGGCTCGGATTTGCTTCAGCAACTGACCAATAATCAGAAGTGATGCTTGTAATTGTTGGACGGCCTGCGGTGCAGAAGTATTAGATTTGCCGTTCGTCTCTCAAAGGTCAAATATGGTGGGAAGGCTTTACATCGAACTCTTCCTAGAGGCCATTCTCTAATGCATCTTGCCTTGAGTAAGCCATCAGAGTGGTGGTGTCTGAACTCCTCTGATGCCGGTGAAATCCCGTGTTGGACGGCTCGGCACGCTTTAATTGGCTCAGCGTTACTATTTCCATCCTGAACCTCGAGCCCGGGAGGAAAAGTGACGGCTCCAGCTGCCTGTGAGTGGCGTGAGGTTGTAGTATTGGCGATCATGTCTGACGGGGCCCCTCTGTTTTATCCCAGGTCCTCCTCCCCATTGGGGGTATATGCAGCCCGGCACACAGCAGCACAGACAGTCCCACAACTCAATGACCGGGCAAGGAAAGCCTTTTTATGCTTTAATGTAAATAAAATCAGTGAGCGCTTAATAATGTAGCAGCTGTAGCACATAAAAGGCAACCAAAATAAAAAGGAAAGGTGATGGCCATTCCTGTCTAAGAAGTGCATCAGCACGAAATGCGTTACGCCATGACGTCTTGCCACTGGCACCTATCACAGGTCCGGTGGCCATTTTTTTACTGTACATGGTCAGTATACCATTTGCTTGTAAACCTTTTAACTTTGTTATGTTCTCTAACCACGTGAAATAATAAAAATCTATATATTTTTTTTTAAAATTCCTACACTATGAGCAATTTTTTGTTGGCTCCCCAGTGAGCTAACATTCATTTCCAGAGCCCAAGTCTCAAGACACAGGAGTTGCAGTACTTATGACACCAGTCCAGAGGAGGACGCTGGTTCCAGTGTAAGCTGCTGAGCAAAAATCAAAAGGTATACCGCTCAGGCGATCAATCCAGATCAATCCACGACTGGCTCGCCACCACACACGATGCAACAGGAAGAAAGGTCAGCCGCACACCGGAGGATAGATGAATATACAGTTGCAAGAAAAAGTATGTGAACCCCTTGGGATTCCGTGGAGTTTTGCATGAATTGGGCATAAAATGTGCTCTGAACGTCATCTAAGTCACAACAATAGAAGAACACAGTCTGCTGAACATAATACTACACAAACATTAGATGTTGCCATGGTTTAATTGCACATAACATGTAAACATTCACAGTGCAGGGAGGAAAAAGTATGTGAACCTTTGGACTTAATAACTGGTTGACCCTCCTTTGGCAGCAATAACCTCAACCAAACGTTTCCTGTAGTTGCAGATCAGACCTGCACAACGATCTGGAGTCATTTTGGACCACCCCTCTTCACAAAATTGTTTCAGTGTAGCAATATTCTTGGGATGTCTGGTGTGAATCGTTCTCTTAAGGTCATGCCACAGCATTTCAATGGGGTTGAGGTCAGGACTCTGACTGGGCCACTCCAGAAGGCATATTCTGTGCTGTTGCAGCCATTGTTTTGTTGAATGACTTGTATGCTTTGGGTCATTGTCCTGTTGCATCACCCATCCTCTGCGGAGCTTCAGTTGGCGGACAGATGGTCGTACGTTTTCCTGCAAAATGTCTTGATAAACTCTGGCATTCATTTCCCATCAATGACATGCAATTCATGCAAAACTCCACGTAATCCCAAGGGATTCACATACTTTTTCTTGCAACTGTAGTATGTATTTATTGATCCATAAAACACCCAAAACACCGGGACATGAATACAGGACTTGTTAACGCGTTTCACACGATCTTGTGCTTAATCATAACAAAGAAAACAACAAAAGTGCCGTCTTATATAGGTATTAGTTAATAAAGAACACCTGTCCTGATCAGCACTCCTGAATCCTGAGGGTACGCCTACCGATACATTGTAACAAGACATATAAAACAATGTATCAAAAGTAGTGATATCAAAGAACAAAAAAGGAAGAAAAGAAAAATAAAGTAAAATAAAAAGATAAACAAAGAAAGAGAAAAAGAAAAATGAATAAAAATAATTGTGAAAAAATAATTCTGAAAAAATTATAAATGAAAAATAGAATAAGAAACACAAATAAAAGTGAGTAAAGATCCCAAGAAGATATGGGCTAAGAAGCCACATTAGTAAATGATCAAAATTTAAATATATGCAAAAAAAACGCATTAAAAAAACGCATGTCTACTTGGGATAAAATCACAAAAAAACATACATATTATCTTTTTATTTTACTTTATTTTTCTTTTCTTCCTTTTTTGTTGTTCTTTGATATCGCTACTTTTGATACAATGGTTTTATATGTCTTGTTACAATGCTAACCGCCAAAGCTAATGGCCACTATTCAGTGCTCCTACTCCTCGACCTCTCCGAAGCCTTCGACACAGTCGACCACCCCCTCCTCCTCAAAAAACTACACTCCCTCGGCCTCAGAGATTCTGCTCTCTCCTGGCTCTCATCCTACCTGTCACAACGCTCCTTCAGCGCTACCTATAATGCTACCACCTCCCCCTCACTCCCCCTCTCTGTTGGGGTCCCTCAAGGCTCTGTCCCCGGGCCCCTTCTCTTCTCCATCTACACCTCCTCCCTTGGCCAACTCATACACTCTCATGGCTTCAACTATCACCTCTATGCCGACGACACACAAATCTATCTCTCAACCCCCCACCTCACCCCCTCAGTCTCCGCCCCCGACCTCACCCCCTCAGTCTCCGGCCCGAATCACACACCTACTGAGTGACATATCAGACTGGATGTCGCTCCACTTCCTTAAACTGAACCTCTCCAAAACCGAGTTTCTTGTCTTCCCCCCAGCCTGCACACCACCCCCCATTGACTTCTCCATCATGTCCAACAACGCCACCATAAAACCCGCCCCGCAGGCCAGAGTACTTGGTGTCATTCTGGACTCCAACCTATCCTTCCAGCCCCAAGTCCAATCTTTAACAAACTCGTGCAGACTCCACCTCCGCAACATGCAGACTCCGCCTCCGCAACATCGCCAAAATCTGCACTTTCCTAACCCCAGAAACCACTAAACAGCTCATCCACTCCCTCATCATATCACGACTCGACTACTGCAACTCCCTCCTCACTGGCCTGCCTCGCCGCTGGCTATCCCCGCTTCAGTCGATCCTGAATACGGCTGCCAGACTCATTCACCTTTCCAACAGCTCCATTTCCGCCACCCCCCTCTGCCAATCCCTCCACTGGCTTCCACTCAGTGTCCTCCACCCCCCCTCTGCCAATCCCTCCACTGGCCTCCACTCAGTGTCCTCCTCCCCCCTCTGCCAATCCCTCCACTGGCCTCCACCCCCCTCTGCCAATCCCTCCACTGGCCTCCACTCAGTGTCCTCCTCCCCCCTCTGCCAATCCCTCCACTGGCCTCCACCCCCCTCTGCCAATCCCTCCACTGGCTTCCAATTGCACAACGGATCAAATTCAAAATCCTAACACTGACGTACAAAGCCGTCCACCATACTGCCCCGAACTACATCACTGACCTAATATCCAAGTACCACCCAACACGCACACTCCGCTCCTCACAAGACCTCCTTCTCTCTAGTTCCCTGGTCTCCTCCTCCCATGCCCGCCTCCAGGACTTCTCCAGGGTGTCACCCATCCTCTGAAACTCCCTGCCCCAACCCATCAGATTATCACCTACTCTCCTCTCC